ACATTTTTCTAAATAAGTTTCGCAAGTTTCTTCAGGAAAATGCCAGTAACAGAGGGGTAAGTTATGAACAATCTCATGAGGACACATTTGACCGATTGTTGCACTTACCGTATTTTTCCGTGTATAAGATGACCCAATGTATAAGACGACCCCCACTTTTCCAACCCCAAATAAGAAAATTTGATCACTGCTTTCCTTCTCCACTTCCTAAGCCCTGCGAAAACAGGATCAAAGGGCTTAGGAAATGGAGGGGGAAAGCAGTGATGAAAGGACTGCAGGATCAAAGGGCTGCGATCCTGCAGCCCTTTCATTTATGCTTTACCCCTCCATTTCCTAAGCCCCACGGTGTGCATGTGCACCCCACTCTGGATCTGTTTGGAGGTGAGGAGGAACAGCAAAGATCTGTGAAGCAGCAGCAGAATCAGAAATGGATGGGGTGGGGCCCAGCACAGAGGTGCCTCCAGACCCCACTGTTGAGCATAGAGGAGGCAGTTTTGCTACTGTGTGATTTTCTCCTTGGCTTACTTCAGTGTAAAAGACAACCCTCAGTTTTCCCCCAATGATTTTAGGAAAAAGTATTGTCTTTTACATGGAAAAATATGCTACTTTGGAGAATCTGAAGAGTCTCTCTCTCTCCCCCCCTCTCTCTCCCTCTCTTTCTGACCAGTTGTATTCTGTTGTTTAGAATCCAGGTTTTTTTGGCAGTGAGGGAAATGTGCTGGGTGACACTTGCTAACATGCCTTAAGGCCACCAAGTTCACCCAGCCTCTCTTCTTAACATAACTGCTGTTGTGCTTTGAAGGGAAGATGCCTGCTTGCTCTTTCATGTTCAGAATTAGTTGAAAATCAATTTTACATATTGACTGTCAGTTACTAGAAAAGTTCAGTGCTGCTTGGGGAATACTGTGAGCAGAGGTGTGTATACCAAATGGATTCGGAGGCGGGGGGGTAGAGTTGCTTAGTGTACTTCCTGCAGTTGCCTGTTAACAGCAGACGGCTGCTATACCTTTTTATGTCCTTAGAATCTGACTGTGCTGTGCCCTCCAGAGTATATGGTATGCTTCTTGCATCGACTCATCTCAGCCTTGAGGCATTACTGGGATGAGTACAAGATGAAGAATCCTTCGGCACTGAGCAGTGAAGGTAAAATCTCTTTGTGCCAGTATAATAATTTACTACTATGAATATCAGTTCTTCATTGCGGTCTTCTGTGAATGCACACAAAAGGATTAATCCAGCGCCAGTGTCGGTCCTCTCGGAACATTCTCGAGCTTTAAGAGAAAAGTAACAAGTGTAAGGCTGCCTATACTGCGCATGCTTCACCCACCCAAGCCTCAGTTCCATTTTTCCGCCTAGCGATTTGGAACCTCTCGTTTGAGCTCCGTTTCTATATGCTGTTTTTTCTACGATTTTTCGGTTTTTTCGACTTGGACTGACTTTGACACTGCTTGAACGCTATATCCTTGACACAGACTGTTTTTTTCCAGACTTCGCGATTGTCTTTTCCCCCTAATCGGCTGCCTCGGTTTTTCCCGCCTTTTTCCTCTCTCCCTAATGGCTGCCATAGACTTTCTTGCTTATGCCTTCTGGCCCATTCCATCGCTGTGTGGTCTGTTCGAGTAAGATTCCCCACCAAGACCCCCACGATCGCTGTGTTTTTTTGTTTAGGAGTACCCCACGTAGCCAAGTCCTGCAAACATTGCAAGACTTTTACTAAACTGGCACTGCGGGCAAGACAGCAACGTTTAAAATTCCACCTTTGGGAATCTACTCTGTCAGCCACAAAACCAGCAGATTCTGAGATGGCTTCCCCGTCTACAACTCCCATACCCGCAGAAAATACCTCACCTCAACTGGGTCCTTCGAGGACGTCCACCAAGGCGCCCAAGTGGCCGGGTCCCTCCAAAAAGCCACTCACCAAGGCTAAGACGGATCCCGCACCGAAGAAATCTGTAAATCAGAACAAAGGGAAGGCACTGGCTAAGTCCAAAGAACCAGATATTCACCTTCCTTCGATCTCGGAATCTGTCCCATCCTCCCTCTTAGAGGACTCATCGAGGGATTGGGAATCCTTGTCAGAGGCAGCCTCTTCGCTCCCTCCTTGACAAGTCAAGCTGGCTATACCACTGGGCATCTCTTCCCCGAGGCCGAGTCAGCTCGTTGGCGCGACCGTGGGCTTGACTTCTGCCCCAAATAGCCCTTCCTCTCAAGGGTGGGGATCTCCAGCTTCATCGATCTCTACGCCTCCCTCGAGGTCGAGATCGCCGCAAAGGAAGCGGACTTCTAAGAGGAAACACCGTTCCTCAACCCGACGCCGAAGCAAGCACCGGCGTCGGCGACATTCTTCCTCCTCCTCCACGGGTTCTGAGACATCTCTCGTGCGCCATCACCACTGTCGTCGACGTTGTCCTACATCCTCAAGCTTCTCTTTGACTTCGACTGATCGAGGTCGAAGGCACAAACGTGTAAAGTACATCTACCTGTCATCTTCCTCTGACTCGTCTCCACCTCGTCGTCGTCATCGACGTCGACACCTCGGGGCCAAGAAACTTAAGGATATCCCTTCACTACCATCCGTGTCGGTTCCAGTGGAGGCACCTCCCTCCACTACCGTACCACAGCCATAAACCTCGATGTCGAGGAATAGGGTCGACGTCGACAAGCTATGCCGCAAGAGGAAAGTAGATGTGTCTTCCTCCAACCCCGATGAGGCTTCCTCAGTACTATCCTCTAATTCGGATCAGGATTTACCCACTCAACCAGGGCAAGCTGATCTTCCAGAAGGGGACGTAGTGGGTTCAGACATTGGTGATGCTAATGCTTCCTCACCGTCTGAGGATTTTTCATCTTACTCCCAAATGTTATCGAGGTTGGCAGAAACCCTTAAACTGGAAGTTGATCAACCCGCACCCCCTACCAAAGACCTCATCTTCGGAGACGTAAATCAAGAAAGGTCCCCACCACCGAGTCTGACCTTTGTTCCAGTAATTATGGACATCATCAAAGAGTATTGGCCACAGCTGTCCACCTTCATTACCTCGCAAAACAGAAAACTTTTACCGTGTTCATGGAGCTGACACTACGTTCCTGCTCAAACACCCCATTCCTAACTTTCTCATTGTAGAAACCAGCTGCACAAAGCCCACTGGTAAATCTCATGTTACACCAACCAATAAGGAAGGAAAAAAGCTTGAAATTATCAGCAGAAAGATTTATTCTTTAATATCCTTTCTCCTAAAAGTCATCAATTATCAGACTGCTCTCGGAGCATATCAAAAACAACTCTGGCTGAAAATTCTACCTGGACTCAAACTTATTCCTGAGGAGGTCAGACAAGGTTTCTTGAATTCTTACGAAGAAGCACAAACCGTGTCTAAACATCAGAGACTATCTACTAGGCACGCTGCAGAAACTGCTGCCCTCATGTCTGCTGTCACCCTGCGCAGACATGCATGGCTTCGGGCGGCCAATATGCTAGACGATGTAAAAAACAAAGTAGAGAGTCTTTCCTTTGACGCCACTGGCATAAAAAACAAAGTAGAGAGTTTTTCCTTTGACGCCACTGGCCTCTTCAATGAGAAGACAGATAGCCATCTAGAAGAACTCCTTTAACGAGAAGACAGATAGCCATCTAGAAGAACTCCACAAGGCTAAAAAGACGGCTAAATCATATTCTATTCAACCACAACCTTGTTACCATAAGTACCAATGGCGCAAGTCTTACACCCATTATCAACAATCATCTCAACAATTCAAACCCTATAGATACTTACCTCAACAAAGACCTCTCAGGCATCCTCCTCCGCTCCCAGCTACTGTTCTCAGCAGTCACAGCGCAGACAGCCCTATAAGCCACCTGCAAAGAAATCCAAGCAATATCTTTGACTCTTGCCCAAGTTGTTTCCTAACTCCAAATTCTACGAGACTTTTGCCATTCCTTTCAAACTGGCTCACCATCACAAGCGATTCCTGGGTTCTAAGCATCATCAAACACGGCTACCATCTAGAATTTATAGAGTTACCTTCTTTAGGGCTCGTAACTCATACGTCCTTCGATGTCGCCCTAAAAGACGAAATTCTATCACTTCTACAAAAGAACGCCATTCAACCCGTTCCTCTAGCAGATATAAAAAACGGATTCTACTCCAGGTATTTTGCCATGACAAAGAAGGATGGAGGAATAAGGCCAATCTTAGATTTAAGTACTCTAAACACTTACCTGTGTCCTCGACGTTTTCGCATGGTGACACTGGAGTCCTTCTTGCCCCTGGTAAAAAAAACAATTGGTTTGTGGTCATAGACCTCAACTCTAAACACTTACCTGTGTCTTCGACATTTTTGCATGGTAACACTGGAGTCCATCTTGCCCCTGGTAAAAAAAAACAACAATTGGTTTGTGGTCATAGACCTCAAAGATGCTTATTTTCATGTGACAATCCATCCTCAGCATCGCATATTTCCTCCGGTTCATTTTCCAAGGAACCATCTACCAGTTCCTCGCCCTCCCGTTCGGCCTTTCGATGGCTCCAAGGACCTTCACAAAGGTGATGGCACCAGTTGCAGCCTATCTGCGCCTTCACAACATCCACATATACCCTTACATAGATGATTGGCTATTGGTCTCTCAGTCCAGAAGGCAAGCTCTGAAAGACACGAAGTTTGTTCTTTGGTTACTACCAAAATTAGGTCTAACCATCAACAAAGAGAAATCACACCTCACACCATCCAGAGTAGTGCATTACATAGGCGCACACCTAGATGCAAACAAAGCAAGGATCTTTCTACCCAAAGACAGGATTCAAAAGCTTCAGTAAGCCGTAAGAAAATTCAAACCACGGGCTCGCGTGACAGCAAGACATGCCCAACATCTCTTGGGCCTCATGGCCTGTGACAGCAAGACATTCCCAACATCTCTTGGGCCTCATGGCCTCGACTACCCCGGCCTTGTCTCATGCTCAATTCAAACTACGATCTCTTCAGTCATGGTTTCTTGATGGACAACCAAGGCAAGCGCCTCCGTGTAACTCCAGAGCTAGCCAATCAACTCAAATGGTGGTCTTGCCTGCCACACCTGACGATTGGCAGACCTTTCAAGCCACTCCAACTCACGGTACAAATTACCACAGACGCGAGCATGACAGGTTGGGGTGCGTTCAACCCCATGATGGACAACCAAGGCAAGCGCCTCTGTGTAACTCCAGAGCTAGCCAATCAACACAAATGGTGGTCTTACCTGCCACACCTGAAGCCACTCCAACTCACGGTACAGATTATCACAGACGCGAGCATGACAGGTTGGGGTGCACATTGCAGACAGCACAGAGTGCATGCCCTCTGGTCCTCCCAGGAAATCAACTTACATATCAACCATCTAGAGATGATAGCTGTTATAAAAGCACTCCGGGCTTTTCTCCCCATGGTACAGGGTCGTGGTGTTCAGGTGATAACGGACAACACCACGACCATGTACTATATCAACAAACAAGGAGGGACTCGCTCTCAATCCCTACTTTACCTTGCCATTCATCTTTGGGAGTGGTGTTATCTACACCAGGTATTCCCAGTAGCCATACATGTCTCCACCACAGACGGTACGATGGCGGACCATCTCAGTCGCCTCCCATATCAAACTCACGAGTGGGAACTCAACTCCCAGGTGTACCAAGAACTGTGTCACCGTTGGGGAACTCCCACCATAGACATCTTTGCATCTCATCTCAACGCTAAGTGCGTCAGATATACATCCAGAGCTGGACTGGGCAAGGGCTCTTTAGGAGATGCATTCATGATACGATGGAATCAAGGCCTTCTTTACATGTTTCCTCCTCTTCCCCTAATTCAGAGGGCTCTCGTGAAACTTCGTTACTCCTCGGCGGGGGCAATCTTCCTAGCACCATACTGGCCTCGGCAACTGTGGTTTCCAATGTTAATGAAGATGTCCTCCGAATTCAAGAGACTGCCCACATTGCCAGACCTCTTGACGCAGGATGTGGGCTCCATCTTCCATCCAGAAGTGGAGAACCTACACCTAACTGCGTGGAGGATCTCCCCGAGATCAAGGAGGTGTTAGACCGCTCTAAAAAGCAGTCCACAAGAGTATTATACAATCGAAAGTGGAAAAGTTTCCTTAAATTTACTGAGAC